TATGTACAAACGAGCTATATATGGGATAGATTGGAAATCAATAGAGGAGGGCCATCGGCTACATGATGCTTAGCACAGTGCCAGGCACATTTTAGATGCTTAATAGATGTTTATTGACCAACTGACTGACTAATGGATTGTTTGTTGTTGTTTGCCTTTTATTCTCAAAGAGGACCAATGACATCAGGAGGGTGATGTCTTGACTTGCAAGTGAATTGGATTTAAGTGAGGCAGAGCTGTGGGAAGTCATCACTTCACTAATGTATAATGAGGTTGTAAAGGAAGGTTATGAAGGGCTTTGAGTGCCAAAACGAAGCTCGAACAAAGAATGGATAGGATAACTCATTGGGAAGTGGTTTGGGCAATGATAACAAATGAAGGAAAGAAGATAAAATAAGTTGTTTCATTGTGGTTATGAGACCTTCCCTCAAATCAATGAGATATAGTATGTAAAGTGTTTCTCACACTCCAATATGCTATATGAAAGCAGCAGCAGCAGCAGTAGTAGTAGTAGTAGTAGTAGTAGTAGTAGTAGTAGTAGTAGTAGTAGTAGTATAGAGTGGATAGAGTAGCACTATCACCATCACCATTACCCCTAAGTGCTCCAAGGGGATATTTCTTAGATATAAAATCAATTGGAAATTGAAATCCAAGAAAGGGATTAGTGGGGATACAGTAAAAGAGTGCTTACTTCCCTTAATGAGTCCAAGTCACTTGGGACAAACTACTGGAGTTCCTCCTTACTCAAGGGGAACTGATACTAGAAAAAAAAACACTTAATGTGAATCAACTTAAAATAGTCACCAGAATATCATATTCGGTAGTGAGAAAAAAAAATTTAATTGGGGTTTTTATCTTGAAAAATAAAACTAAAAATTATGACAAGTTTATTTTATCTTATATTTAACAAAATTCAGGTAATCTTAGGGGCAGCTTGATGGCTCAGGGGATAGAAAGCTGGGCCTGGAGCCAGGAATACCTAAGTTCAAATCTAGCCTCTCACCAGGCAAGAGAGATATTCACTAGGTAAGTCATTTAACCTCTGTTTGCCTTAATCCATTGGAGAAGGAAATAGCAAACCACCCCAGTATCTTTGACACGAAAACCTCATGGACAGTGTGGTCCACAGGGTCACAAAGAGTCGGACACCACTGAACAACAACAACATAGTAATCTTAGAATGAACAAAGAGTGAATAGATTTTTAAGTTGGGGCTATAATTTTTCCACCAAAATTTTATGACAGCATACATCCTTCACTTCCTATTTGCCTTTCATAACATGATCATAAAGAGATCCTTTGTTGCAAAAATATTAGTGAGTTTCATCAATTTTCGTAAGGAAATAGTCTTTCTTCATCCTAGTGTCAAATGGGGAGGAATGTTTAAATGATTTCTAATTCTGTGTGGTCAGTTCATTAGTATTTTCTTGTTAAGACTTTTGCTTCTCTGTTTTTTTTTTTTGGCTAGGCAATGGGGTTAAGTGACTTGCCCAGGGTCACACGGCTAGTAAGTGTTATGTGTCTGGAGTCAGATTTGAACTCAGGTCCTCCTGACTCCAGGGCTGGTGCTCTATCCATCGTGCCACCTAGCTGCCCCAAGATTTTTGCTTCTCAAGGCAATCTCTTGGGTAGGCAGCTTGGATTAGTGAATAGAACATGCCCCCAAGTTAGGAAGACCCAGATTTGAGTCCTGTCTCTGACCCACAATAGCAAGTCACAGCCTGTCAGTGTACCATACAATCCCAAAGACAGGAGAGTTGCTTTTCTGCATTGAAGGTTCTTAGATAATGAATGCTCAAATAATTAAGGAACCCTGGGACTTCCCAAGGACTTATTGATATAATTGAATAACAAATAATCAATGGAGTTGTAGATATACTCAGAAAGACCTGTGGTCTTATCAATGTGGATGTTCCCTTCAACTATGCAGATTTCAACCCATCTATGGTTGCCCATCTTGTGTAGCTCTTATCTGTGTCTTTCCAATTAGTTTGCTACAGGAGTTCCTCCCAATGTACTCAGAACCTTCCTTACTTTATCTTGTGAGGGTGAAAATACTAGTGAAACACACAGGCTATCCATCAGTTGTCCCTCACTCGCACCATGTGATCAGCCAGTCATTTTCTATTATCTCTTTCTTTAAGGCATGGAAAGACTTGCACGGAATGATAGAGCGAGAAGTAAACAGAACCAAGAGAACATTGTATACAGTAAGAGCAATGTTGTTTTAAGAATGACTTTGAGCAACTGAGTCATTTTGACTATTATAAATACACAAATTAAAAATAAAGACACATGAAGAAAGACACTATTTGCATGCAGAGAAACAATTGATAAATAGATGTATAGAATAATTATACATACATACATATATACATATACATATATATATATGTGTGTGTGTGTGTGTGTGTGTGTGTGTGTGTGTGTGTGTGTGTCTAATGCTAGCCAGCTCTTGGGGGTGAGGAGAATAGAAAGAAAGGAAAAAAAGAAATTCACGTGATAACTTTGTTGTGTATTTGGAGAGAATAACAAGTTGTACATGGAAGATGTGCAATTTCATGGGCAATCATCTTTTTATCGTATTGTGTTAGGGAAATGCTTGTTTTGTCCCATGAATTGAAAATAAAATAAATTTTAAAATAAAAAAATTAAAATAAAAAGAATCTCTTTCTTTGATGACGTCTTTTATTTCAGTTCTTTTTCATGGTTCTGTGTTTGCTATGAGTTGTAGCCTACTCACATCCATCATATACTTTTCCGTAATTCTTCGGAGACTTTAGAGACATAACTTGCACACATTCAACAACACAGTGAGAATGTGGGCGTCAAAAACATGGGTCTTTATTTTAGGAAGAAGTTTTAGCTCATTAAAGGAATTTTGCAATGGCTTGCATTTAAGCAAATAAGGAGTCTGCTCTTCCATTAACTTCAGAGTCTGATTCATTGAAAACTTGGAGTGTCTTATATAATAAGTATGTAAATATATACACACATATATGATATTAAATACTACATTTAATTATACATTAATGTAACATATATTATGTTCATATAACATATATTATGTATGTATATACACACTCATTGGTAAGGTCTGTATGTTATCAATCTAGCTGTTTGTTATGGTATGGACAAAAGTCATTCTTCATGGTTTTTCCTGTGGAGATGGTTAGGCCAAACTCTTGTGAATGGTCATGGTTCTTGTTAAGGAAGCTCTCCAGTATCATGGGCCTTGATATGACCAGCACAATGTCATCTGTAAACTGGAATATCTGGAGGACCTCACTATCCATAGGAAATCCTTCATTAACTTCAATTCCATGTGCCTCTCCCCCAAGACAGTGGCAAAGACATTTGTTGAGCAAATGTCTTGCTTTAAAAAAGAATCACCTGATATTTGTGATTGGAGGGGTCATCGCAAAGAATATTGCTGTTGCTATATATTTCAATGAATCTTGGATAAATTTTACTGATGTGTGAAACATTATTTAAGAGAGCCTTTAAGGTTCATTTCACCAGATCAAAAACTATTTTGAGGTCAACAAATAGAGATAGGGGAAAATATCTCTTATTTTTTAATATTTTATCTGATATTAATGAAAGTCATTGAACAAGGTAATCTCTACTGATATATTTTTCCTCTATAATTTAATGTTTTCAATTAACAAAAATCTATTTTCTCTCCTTCCCACATAACTCCCCTCTGAAAAAGAAGAAAAAACAAAACCCTTTGAGAAAATATGCAAGCAAATTAAGCAAAACTAATTCCTTCATTGACTACGTCCAAAAATATATTTGACCACATCCAAAAATATAAATATCTATCTGTACCCTGAGTCTATCACTATCTGTCAGGAAATGTGTAGCATCTGTTTCATCAATGGCCCTCTGGAATTGCGGGTGGTCATTGAATTGATCAGAGTTCTAGTCTTTCAAAGTTGTCTTTACAAAATTGTTGTTAGTGTATAAATTGTTTTCCTGGTTCTGCTCACTACACTCTGCATTGTTTCATAGAAGTCTTACTAAATTTTTCTGAAACCATCTCCTTTACCATTTTTCTCAGCATAACAGTATTTCATTACATTCCTATATCATAATTTGTTCAACCTAAACAATGGACTTTCCTTTAATTTTTTTTTGTTGCCATCACGAAAAGAGCTGTTTAAATATTTTTGTACATAAAGGTCCTTTTTCTCTTTCTTTTCTCTTTGGTATATAGAACTACTAGTAGTATCACTAGGTCAATGCGCAGTTTAATAATTTTAGGAGCATAGTTCCAAATTGCTTTCCAGAATGGCCAGACTAATTCAAATCTCCACAAACAATGCATTAATGAATATATTTTCCCATGTCCCCTCCAATATTTGTTATTTTTTGCCTTTTGTCAACTTCACTGATCTGATGAGTATGAGGCGGAACCTTGATCTATTATTATATCTTTCATGGCATATTGTATAATTTTGGTACATGGAAGATTCTTTCAGACAGTTTTTAAGGCTGTATTTTGTTCTACTGAATCAAAAGATTTTTTTTTCTAGTCAATAAATAATAAACCTATATTTTCTAAATCTTTTAGACAATTGCATGATAGTAAAGATTATGTCTATTGTGTAATTATTGCTTGCAAAAACATGTTTCTTCCTTGCTAATACTTTACTCTAGTATGCCCTCAATGTTTGTGTATATAACTTTCATTTAAAAAAAGTATACATATATATACATACACTTATATATGTGTGTGCGTGTGTGTACGTATGCATCTATGTATATATATTCATGTATCATATATACACGCTGACCTATACACCTGCTTTCTCAAATACATGTTAATTACATATATGTAGTTGCTGACGTTCTCTTGGTCACTTTTTAAAAATTAAATATTGCTCTTCAGTTGTCTGTAAGGTGCTTGTTTCTTCTTCGGAAGCTAAGGCCAAGTTGGGGTGACACCTCAGTAGCACCACTACAAACAAGTCTCTCCTCATCCTTCTGCTGACATGGCCATCTCCAAGCTCACTTGCATCTATTCTGCCCTCATCCTTTACGACGATGATGTTACAGTCATGGAGGATAAAATAAATGCCCACATTACAGCGGCAGGTGTAAATGTTGAACCATTCTGGCCAGTATTATTTGCAAAGGCCCTGTCCAATGTCAACATTGCAAGTCTCATCTGCAATGTAGGAGTTAGTGGACCTGCCCCAACAGCTGGTGGTGCTGCCCCTGCTGGAGGGGTATCTCCTGCTAGCTCAGCGGCCCCAGCTGAGGTGAAGAAGAAAGAGGAAGCAGAAAAAGAAGAATCCGAGGAGTCCAATGATGACATGGGCTTTGGTCTGTTTGACTAAATATTTTTTGTAATATTAAATAAAAAGCTTAACTCAACTTTAAAAAAAAGTAAGTATTGAGATCTGTCTGAGATTCTCTATAAGTTTTTGGTATTTTCCCCTTGAGATACCCAGTGAATCAATCCCTCAATACCCCGACAATCGTGTTCCTCCAGAATGATTTCTATTTACACATGGCTTAGTGCAGAGATGTCAAATTGCAGGCCTCAGTCCCAAAACATTCTTGGGGAGCCAGATTAAAATGTAATTGGGAAACAATTAGCAAAATATGTAAAAACAGAACATGGATAATTTTGTAAGTCAATGTGTAGCCTTCAGGGATCCTTGTATATGCTTCAGTGGCCCCTCTTCTATTTGAGTTTGATCTCTTGACCTAGTGAATAAACAACTGGCCTCAGAGACAGGAAGACTGGATGTGGGTTCCTGGGCACAATTCTGTGATGCTGTAATTTCCCAGTACTACATTCAACTCTTTATGACTATGAATAACAGAGAAGGCATCAGCCTTCATTGGTAGAAGGAATATTCTCATCAAAAGTTCCCTATATCAATAAAATAACAAGCAGAACCCCTATAGTTATCTTTAATGGAGCTGTTTTGTCCGTCTTCCTCAAATAACCTTGTATTTATTTATCTAAGTACATATTGATTCCAGCCTCCTTCCCTCCCTCCCTCCTCAATGCATGTACCTTGAAGGCATTCTGCTTTTGCAACCTTGACCTAACAAAATATATAGTAGACTTCTAAAATGCTTGTAGAATTAAATTGAATTGTAAGCCGCTATTGGGATTCTTGAGAAATGGTGGAAGGGTTATAGGAGTAGAAGACAAGCAAATGTTGTCTTGCTTTACAAAAATGGGAAGAAGGGAGTTTCTTAAAACAGTAGGTTGGTAACCTTGATTTCTGTTCCTTATAAAAATCTAATAGAATTTTTATGAAGAGATTGATTTTTTTTTTAAATCCAAGCAGTAATTACTACAAAACAACATGTGTTCTTTAAAATGAATAATGCCAAATTAGCTTAGTTTCCTTTCTGGTTAGGATGACTAAATTGGAGAAAGCTTTAGACCAGGAATTCCCAGACTTTTTTTTGGCTTTTAGACCTTTAAATTATTTAGACTCCTTCCCCAGTGAACTTTTCTTTAGTGGGCTATATATGTTTACTGTATTAGAAATTACAGTGCCTTAATATTGTTATGAAAATTGTTTTGACCTCTCAATCCTCCTAAAAGGGTTTTGGGGACTTCTAGGGGTCCCTGGACCACACACTTGAGAACTTCTTGCTTTAGGTGAATAGTTCTCAGCCAGTGGACTGAGGGCCCTGGGGAACTAAGGAGTCATTGCAAGGGGCCCTAATTCATATGCACATCAAATATTGTCATTTTGATATTTAAGAGCTGCAAAAAAAATAAGATGCATCATGACATGGATGAAAGCACAGAAGTCATGCTCTTCAAATATGCTGATTATACAAACTGGGAAGGATAGCTAACCCTCTGGATTTCATAGTTAAGAGTCCAAAAAGTTCCCTGAAGAGTCGAATGAAAACCGGAGTTGAATTAAGTGAAATTTAATGAGGACAAATAAAAAGTTCTACAAAAGCTAGGTTCAAATTAGTGGGGACAATGAATCCCTTGAAGTTACTGCATTATTCAAATTCACACTGCATATTTTACATTAGGCTGGAACTAATTATCATATTTTACGTAATTATAACTTCAAATAGTGTGAATTCAAAGATATGTGACCATTTCACAAGACTCGTTATTTGTAGTAATAGGAACCTGGCTTGTTTTTTTTTAAATTAAATAAATTCTACAAGTAGAGGCAATTGAGGAGTTATGGCTAAGAAACAGCTCCTGGGGGAAAAACATCTCAGGATTTGAGGGAGACAGTCAGAAGAGTTAATATCTTTGGCTGCATTAAAAAGAGACATGCTGTCCAGAATGAGAGGGTTAATAGCCTGAGGTTAGAAACCTAAATTACTAGGAAAATGGTTTTGTCACTGAGAGAAACAGAGAATTTACTTCTCAATTTTAAATCTATGATCTTATGGTACTGTTAAGAGGCTTCAGAGAAAAGGTGATACATTTGATTTATTCATGTTGAGCATGAGGTACCAGTATGATACCCAAGTGGAGAAGACCAGTGGGGTGACTGGTAATCTAAGACTAGACTGCAAGAGAAAGAAGGGCTAGATATGTAAACCTGGACTTTTCCTACTGATACTGAATATGTGCACTCCATCAATGAAACACAGGTTTCCCTTCTGCAAGAAAATCCAATATACCAAACTTGGTGGCTATCATATTATCAAAGGACTTCTCACTTTATGAAAAGACTGACTATAGTTTTCCTGTAAAAGGATCACTTTCCCCAGTACTTCTAATATGTGATTAAATTTTTTTAAAATACATTTTGGTCCACTTGCACAACTCATGTGAAAAGTCAGAGAAGAGGGGCAGCTAAGTGGCACAGTGGCTCTGGAATCAGGAGGACCTGAGTTCAAATCCAGCCTTCAGATACTTACTATCGGTGTGACCCTAGGTAAGTCATTTAACCCCCATTGCCTTGGTGGAAAAAAGTCAGTGAAGTCTGCATTTATATTGTACCCAGGGGAGGAGATATTCTCATTAAGCAAGAGGTGATGACTCAAGAAGCTTTGTTCTTCTGCTATTTGTCTACTATTTGACCTAAACCTTCTTGGGAAAGGAAAGAGAAGAGGTGCTAGTAATTAGATATTTTGGCCTAAATTAAGAAGAGCCATAACTAGCAGTTCTGATACCCAGGGAAATCACCATAAAATATATTACAGGCAAGCAGGATGAAAAGCACCCTCAAATCAACTTCTTAAGGTAAATCAGAAGACAACATGAGGCCTCTTGAGAGACCCCTGACAGAAGGGGAAGGAAGGATCCTTGGGAGGAGCTCACCCAGGCCAGCCTCAAGTAAGGATGAAGGAATTTGAAATTCCCATCTCTATGGTCATAGGCTCCGACTGATAAGCATTTCACTCAGGGTTGTGTAGGTAAATATTTTAACAACTGGGTCAATGGAAAAAAAATGTATGCACAGCACACTTTTAAGTTTAATCTGCAACATTAAATTCCCCCCCCCTTTTCTTAAGTCTAGACAATCCATGAAACAGTAAATCAAGTCCTGCTTTGTACCACTTGCCAGTCCTGAGTGAAAACTCAACAGTGGCTCATGAGAGCCGGTAAGAGCTGGCTCCAGCACGCTACCAATTTCACCTTCTGTCTCCCGGTTTTGGCCAGTTCTGTGCCATGCTGCCTCGTCTGTCATGTTCCCTTTACCTCTTTCCATTCTTTAGCATTTCTTTCTCTGAAACACTCCTCTAGGACCTAACTTTCCTGTATGTGTTGTTTTACTTTATTAGAAGGTAAGCCTCTTGAGGGCAGAGACTGTCCTGCTAAGCACTTAGCGTGGTACCTAGCGCAGAGTATTCAATAAATGCATTCATTCTTTCCCATTTAATTCATTACTTTTGCTGATTAGATGTTAAACTCAGTTGTTTCTGTCTGCTGGTGGGCTGTAAGTGCTGTCATTGCTTTTGAAATTCTGGCAGCCAGGGACAAAGTGCCATCTTTGCCGAAAAAGAAGGAGCCTCATACCTCCTTCCATTCCAGCCCTTTCTTCGAATAGATGGATGAGGAGGTGCCACCTGCCCCCAAACGTCAGTAGAATACTAACTTAAAGAGATGTGATTAGCACCCAGGCAGCATTTGTCCTAAACTGCAAGGCTGATAATCATAGACTTAGGGCCTTAGAGGTCAAATAATTCAACCCTGAGGAGGTAGATGAAGTGGATAGAGTTCTGGGCCTGGAGTCAAGAAGACTCACCTTACTGAGTTCAAATCTTACCTCAGACCCTTACTAGCTGTGTGACCCTGGGCAAGTCCCTTAACCCTGTTTGTCTCAGTTTCCCCATCTATAAAATGAGCTAGAGAAGGAAATGGCAAACTCCAGTGTCTTTGCCGGGAAAACCCCAAATGATGTCACAAAGAATAGGATGCAGCTAAACAACAGTAATTCAACCCTTCACTTTACAGATGAGAAAACTAAGGCCAAGGGAAGGGAACAAACATTCATATCGTACCTACTGTGTGTCAGGCACTAGGCAAAGCACTTTGTAAATATTATCTCATTTCATCCTTACAACAACCATGTAAAGTAGGTGGTGTTGTTATTCTTAGTTTACAGTTGCGGAAACTGAGGTAGAAGAAGGATAAGTGACTTGCCCAGGATCACACAGTAGTCAGTGCTAGATACTGGACTTGAATTCAGGTCTTTCTGATTCCAGGTCCAGTACCCATCATCTGCCTCAGGGAAGATAAGTAACTTGACCAAGTTCACACAGATAGTGATTGAGGTGAGATTTGAACTCAGGTCCTCTGCCTCCAGAGATTGTACTTTTTCTACTGTACCACTGAATGCTAATAGAATTTTAAAAACTTCTTTTTCCCTGTCTAGCTAGGCTTCAAAATAACCTATACTTTGTCTCTTCAGAATTTCATGTTATAAAACTTCTAAGTGCTGAGGTTATATAACTGATGTATTCATAACCTTGTGTTTTACATTTGCTGAATGCTGGCGGTGTGTTCAGCATCCCTTGTCTCTTCCTTTGCACATATCACTAACCCTGGGTATATTGTTCACACCCTAAATCTCCTGGTTGGTTTCTTGTTTATTAGCAAATAGTCCTGAGTGCCAAATTATATCAATCAGCATTAGTGGTAAAGCGCACCATTTATATGCCAATGTAACAACCAAAGAATGTTGCGCTACAGGTAAGAGGGAAAATACCCTATTTCTTTTTGTCCTGTAGGGAGAAATAATTGGGGAGGTATTGCAGACAGAGACAGACAAACAGAGAGATAGAGACAGAGAGAAGAGAGACAAAGAGAGAAAGAGAGAGAAAAGAGAGGAGAGGGGGTGGGTGGGGTACTCTAAGTACCACCGCCAGTCACAGTGCTTTGAGCTAGAAATGCTGTAACAACAAAGGAAATACATTTTCTC